CTGCTAAAGCCAATTGCCTGACTAGCAAGGCCAGCCATTTCTGTGTTTAGCCATCTGGCCACCCTTCTATCTATCTATTCATCTATCTGTCCGTTACTATTGAATACCTACTGTGTGGGAAGCCTGGAAAAATACACCCAGTTATACATGGGGGAAATCAGATGACAGAGGTTGCCAAGTTCATGTGAAGGATTCTGGTAGGAAACACGTGGACACGAGAATTTCCCAGAAGGAGGGAGTGCACACGCCTCTCTGGCTAACAGAGGTGGTACTGGGAGTCAGGCGGGTACCCCCGGAAGGAGCTGGAGAAAGCACTTCCCCTTTGGACAGCGATGATGTTTGGCCAACATGTTATGCATGGACATGCCCGACCAGTTGAAATATGGGTGGTAAAATAGCTACTTCCTCGAGCCTCCCAAGTGTCCTGTCCACTGCCCCAGCTGCCCGGTCACTGCCCCCGCACCACCTGCAACTAAAGGGGTGAGCCCTGGCCCAGCAGGGCCCCCAGGACCCGGTGCATGCTGCCCTGCGCCTGTTCCATTGGCCAGGCCGGGCCTGTATGACTACTCTGTATTTTGCCGTCACCCCTGCTTTCAGATACCCCAAACGCCTGCACAAGGTGGTGAGGAGACTGGTCCCGAACTGTGACGTCCGCTTCTTCCTGTCAGAGAGTGGCAGCACCAAGGGGGCAGCCATGGTGACGGCGGTGGCCGCCCGTGTGCAGGCCCAGCGGAAGCAGGTGGACCAGGTGCTGGCCCTGTTCCGGCTGACCCGGGAGCAGCTCGTGGGCGTGCGGGACAAGATGCGGGCTGAGCTCGAGTATGGGCTGAAGAGGGACACGCACCTGCTGGCCACCGTCAAGATGCTGCCCACCTACGTCTGCGGGATGCCGGACGGCACAGGTGGGCCGTGCACAAGCTCTTTCTCCCGAAGGGCCACCTAGAACTCCCACGAGCTCCTTCAATCCGGTTAGGTGTTTTATTAGAAGAGCTTTGGGTTCATGTCTGTAATGGCGGGCGGGGGCCAGGGTTGAAGGTCAGTACTCCTTCTGCATCTATTCGCCGGGTGGACCCACGGCCTTGCTCTGCGCACGCTGGTGGAGAGATCGCCTCCCGCAGGGGGCGCGTGCATCTGTGTAGCTGAGAACATGGCGTGTACCCCATGTTGTTGGCAAACAGAAGACCCAGATGCTGTTCCCGGGAGCGGCCATCTGGACACTTGGAGTCGGCTGGCTGGCCTTCCCCGGCTTCTCTGCCTCTCTTCCCTCCCGAGGCGTGGCTCTCTTGCTCTCCCCTCAGCACTCTCTGCACCTGACTTTTCCAAGCCCTGCTCCTCCTCCTGGTCCTTGGTGCTCGGCTGAGAGGAGCCACTCCACAGCGGAGCCAGAGTCTGTGATGCTCTGTGATGCTGGAGGAGTGAGAGGCAGTGGGTGGTACTGAAGGTTGAACTTGATTTCTTTTGTTGTTAATTCCCACCCGATGATATTTTTCCATTGATTTTTAGAGAGAGTGGAAGGGAGGGGGAGAGACAGAGAGAGCGAGAGAAACATCGATGTGAGAGAGACACATCTATTGGTTGCTTCCTGCACGTGCCCTGACCCAGCCAGGGACCCCGGCCTGCAACCGAGGTACATGCCCTTGACTGGAATCAAACCCGGGACCCTTCAGTCCACAGGCCGATGCTCTATCCACTGAGCCAAACCGGCCAGGTAGGGGTGAGGGAACCCAGAGAAGGGGAGAGCCAGGATGGGAAGAATCATTCTATCACGTGATGAGCAGTTCCTCCAGGCCACACAGACGGATGGAGCCACCTTCGGAGGCCATTGCACTCAGGGCAGCCTGGCCTGACTCACCCTCAGAGGCTCCTTGAGCATAAGTACCGTTGTGGCCTTTCCCAGGTGCAGGAAAAGCAGGCTGGCCTCACAGCTCCGGGTGCCTGCGGGTGCCCTGGATCTGTGCCCGGGGCAGGCTCTGAGGCTACTCCTTTTCCTCATCTCCGTCCCCCATGCCTCCCCTGAGTCCCTGCTCTGTGCATGCTGGTAGAACGGAGCCCCACTTTCTCCCCCACAGAGAGAGGGAATTTCCTTGCCCTGGATCTGGGGGGAACCAACTTCCGCGTCCTCCTGGTGAAGATCAGAAGCGGCCGGAGGTCAGTGCGGATGTACAACAAGATCTTCGCCATCCCGCTGGAGATCATGCAGGGCACCGGCGAGGAGGTGAGCGTCAGGCCGCGGGTCTGTGCGCTGGGGTGCCAGCCTCCCCCCCGCCCCGCCCCGGTCACTGCCCGCCCGGGTGACTGCCACTCTCTCCCTGCAGCTGTTTGACCACATCGTGCAGTGCATCTCCGACTTCTTGGACTACATGGGCCTCAAGGGAGTCCCGCTGCCTTTGGGCTTCACGTTCTCATTTCCCTGCAGGCAGACAGGCATCGACAAGGTAAGCGGCCCCGCCAGGCTCCCAGCCAGCCCCGTGGGGTGGGCTGCCCTCCTCCACGAGGGGAATCCCAAGGAACCTCTGAGTCACTGTTCATTTTATTTAGGGGCCTTAGGACAGGGCAGCTGGGGGAGGGGCCGCGGGCGGTTGGGGCCGCAGTGTGCGTCAAAGCAACCAGTCGTTCAGGCATTGCGGTCGCTTGGCTTTTATATATATATATATATAGAAAGCATTTCCTATATTGATGTACAAGGTGATAGATCCATTTTTTGGAATGATAGGATGCCTCCAGTGTTTTACTGTGGAACAATGCTTTAATAAACAGTCTGTGGCCTTATCATTAATCACATCTTAATCTGTCCTTGGCTAGATTAGAAGTGATCCAGGCCTTTGCTCTGTGCAGTCATGGCCTGGGAACACGAGTTGTCACTGATGAATATGAATTACTGCAGTTACTCCACTCAGAAGTAGACCCTGTCTGCGATCATGCTTTGTAATGCCTCTGGGCCCAGTGTTAGGGCTGCATAGATGGAAGCAATCGAAAGCACACACACCGGACTACCTATTAGATGTTGAGGTCCCAGAAAACTACTGCTCAAGTGAATCTCTCCTCCTTTCTTTCAGGGGATACTCATTGAGTGGACCAAAGGCTTTAAGGCTACTGACTGTGAAGGGGAAGACATGGTGGATATGCTCAGGGAAGCCATCAAGAGGAGAAACGTATGATACGGTGTTGAGGCTCATGCCTGACCTAGCCCCTTCCCCAAACCCCTTTGGCCTACCATCCTAGGTCCAGCCCTGTGACTCTGACCTTCCTCACACACACCTCACCCCTACTCTGGGTCGATATGCCCCTCCTAGTCCAGTTGGCTTGCACATTCCTCCTACAGTAGAGCTGCTTCCTTTGCAGGAGTTTGACCTGGACATAGTTGCAGTTGTGAATGACACAGTGGGGACCATGATGACCTGTGGCTATGAAGATCCTAATTGTGAGATTGGCCTGATTGCGGGTAAGTGGTCAGGCATGTCCCATTGGCCTACTCCCATCTGATTCTTTGGAGGATCCTTTTTAACATAGTGAGGCAGGGGAGATTGCTCCATTATACAGAGCCTCTGGAGCTGGCTTTGTCCAAGGCAGAGATGAAGCTAAGGCTGGGATTCTAGAATTCTTAAGTGTTTACTTAATATTTTTCTTCATTAAGGGTAGTAAGTCAAAGTTGTCCTTTCTGTTGGAGAAGAATGATATAAAAAAAGGGGACTTTCAGATTATCCTGGGAGGAAGGAGACCTCAGTAGAATCTTGTTGGCCCAAAGCTGGCTCCAATGTTCTCTGACCTTTTCTGGCTGTCTGGGTTCCCAGGATGGGGAAGATTTGGAAGGAAACCTAGGGGAGGAGAAGTCTGACGGTGATTAAGGACTAGGGTGGAATGGCTCCAGCGGGGTGAGGGAAAAGGTGGGAGTTGAACAGGTAGAGATGGGGATGAAGGGCATTCCAACTGAGAGGCACAGATTAAGTAATGACAATCTGCGAAAGTTGTTCCAGTTGGTTGTCTGGGGTTCCTGGAGGTGAGGAGCAGGTGGAACAAGCAGATGGGGATATAGTGAGATGTCTTCAATGCCAGATAAGGGGTTTGATCTCTCTCCAACTCTCACCCGCTTTGTGACCTTGGGCAGGTTACTATTCTGTCTGGACTTGGATTTCCTCATCTATGGGAGGGGCTGGGCTATATCTAGGCGAGCAAAGAGGTGAGACTTGCTTAATTCCATATAATAGTTGCCTGGACTGTTGTGTGGAGAATAGTTCTTAGGCCAGGTCATGGGCCAAGGAGAAGAAGGTGGCATATAGATGCTAAACATTTGCTTGTCCAAGACTAGACGATTCCTCTTGGTCCCTTCCAGCCCTGACTGCTAACTCTCTGACTCCTTGGAGGCTCACTTTGTGTGCCTGTAGCTTAACAAGGATGATGATGGAGGTGATGCTGCTGCTATCACCATTGACTGAATACTTACCATGTGGAGGAAACTTACAAACATCATCTCATTTTTTAAAAAATATATTTTTTATTGATTTTAGAGAGGTAGGGAGGAGAGAGAGATAGAAACATCAATGATGAGAATCACTGATTGGCTGCCTCCTGCACACCCACTACTGGGGATTGCACCCGCAAATGGGGCATGTGCCCTAACTTGGCATCAAACTGTGACCTCTTAGCTCATAAGTCAATGCTCAACCATTGAGCCACACCAGCCGAAGCTCATCTCATTTTTTTTTTTTTTAAATAACAAATCTATGAGGCAGGCATTGTTTCCTTTTCACAGATGAAGAAATTGGGCCTCTGAAAGATGAGATACTTGTCTAAGGTCACTCAGCAATGGTATAAAGCTGCAATTCAGATTTTGACTCCAATCCAGTTGCCTGACTCCAAGCTTAAAGTCCTGTCTGCTGCGTTCCGCTGCCTCTTTAAGATCTGGTGGTGTCTTTTGAAGACTAAAGTCTCTTCCTGGTTCCTTCTAGGAACGGGCAGCAATATGTGCTACATGGAGGAGATGAGGAACATAGAGGTGGTGGAAGGGGACGAAGGGAAGATGTGCATTAACACAGAGTGGGGAGGATTTGGAGATAATGGCTGCATAGATGACATCCGGACCCAATATGACAAGGAGGTGGATGAGGGGTCCCTGAATCCCGGCAAACAAAGGTGAGAAGGCAGATGTGTACATGTGTGCGGGTTGTGCATATACCACTTTACCAGATCTTGGCGGGGGGTGGGGAGGGTGTGTGTGCCATTTTCTTATTATATTACTACTACTATTACATGTTAGTGTGCTGTCTTATTTGAACAAAAGCAAAATATTATGACAAATTTCCAATAAGTAGAACAAAGTGTTGCCTTTTTCTAACTATCAGAGGGCATCATAAAGGGGATGGCTAGTGGAGGCAGAGGCTGTCTGTGGGCCAGGTGTCACAGAGCAGGGGCCTGGTGACTCTGAGAGGTCCAATTCAGCATTTTAAGAGCTGGCTGCCAGGTTGCTGACCTCTGTTGTTCTGGGCGAGGAAGTGGCCACAGGAAGGATGGGAGTTCCGGTTCTCAACATGATGTCATGTCCCAACATGGGTCACAGTCACCTGTGAGGTGTATTCCAACTACTGACCCTACTGAAAACAGTGGGTGGTTCTTTTAAGAAAAGTAGAGTACATTTTTGCTTGCATCCTCATATACCAGCGGTTCTCAACCTGTGGGTCGCGACCCCTTTGGCAGTCGAACGACCCTTTCACAGGGGTCGCCTAAGACCATCCTTCATATCAGATATTTACATTACGATTCATAACAGTAGCAGCATTACAGTTATGAAGTAGCAACGAAAATAATTTTATGGTTGGGTCACAACATGAGGAACTGTATTTAAAGG